TTTCAAGTCAGAGCACCTATCTACACAGAGAGCTTTTTATATATGATCTCTTTATGAAACTAACAAAGCATCACAGGTTAATTAACCTCTAATTGCTAATCTCTAGTTGCTTAATTACAAAGTTCACTAAGTATATCTATAAAGAATTGAGCTTCCAAAGTCCATGAAGGAAACTACCCATTTCTTTCCAGACACACATGCTATACAGATTGGAGGAAAATTTGAATAGTGCTTTTCAAACTGATATTTTGCAGGTAGTTATAGCAGTGTTTAAGGGCTCTCTGGGAAAAGGTCAAAGGTCCTAGAGTCAAATACACATGTGAAATGCTGGACTAAACAAAGCTTAATCATTTTCAATGGGGATCTCGTCCGTGACTTCTCTGTGATGAATGTGTTTTGTGTATAGAGGGTTCCCTGGCTGATTCGTCAAACAGTCTTTTCCTCATGAATGCTTTCATGGGACACACGTTGAAAAACGTGATTTAAACAAATGCAAACTTTTGCCAATAGCACAATATCTTTCTCACTAAGTTTTTGTGTGGTGTGTGTGGTGAATATACATTAGCATTTTAAGTGTACAGTTCAGTGGCAGTAAGTACATTCATATACTTGTGCAGACATCACCAACATCCACCACCAGAATTTTTTTAACTTTCCACACTGAAACTTTGTACCCATTTGTTGACTGTAAGCAAAAGGTCAGCCAGGTTTTCCTCTAGCAAAATGGGTTTATTCAGAAACAACAAGGAATCACAATCCACAGCGCGCAACCCTGGTGGGCCACATGCAAGTTCGCTAAAACGAAGAAGAGGAAGCCCTTTTGTAGAGGAGAAAAGGACGTTTGGAAGGGCCATTACAAAGAGTCTCCCCCATGGTTCTTCAAGATCAACACGGGGCCGAGACCTCCCTCTCCCAGCATTCCTACTTCACTTTAAATGAGGTTGCTGTTTATTAATTTTAATTCATACATTAAATAATAATTTCATTTTCCCATCACCACAGTTCTTGGCAGCCACCATTCTACTTTCTGTCTGTGAATGTGACTACTCTAGGTACCTCATATAAGCAGAACAATGCAGTATGTTTGTGGCTAGATTATTTCCTTTAGCATAATGTCTTCAATCCATGCTGACATATGAAAAGATGCTCAACATCACTTATCATCAGAGAAATGCAAACTAAAACCACAATGAGATACCACCTCAGAACGGCTATCGTCAATAAATCAACAAACAAGTATTGGTGAGGATGCAGAGAAAAGGCAAGCCTCATGAACTGTTGGTGGGAATGCTGACTGGGGCAGCCACTGTGCAAAACAGTATGGAGTCTCCTCAAAAAATTAAAAATGGAACTGCCGTATGGCCCAGTGAGTCCACTTCTGGGTATATATTAGAAGAAACCCAAAACACTAATTCAAAAGAATATATGCATGGCTATGTTCATTGCAGAGTTATTTACAATAGCCACGATTTGGAAGTAACCCAAGTACCCATCAACAGATGAGTAGATATAAAAGCAGTGGTACATATATACAATAGAATATTACTTGGCCATAAAAAAAAAGAATGAAATCTTACCATTTGGGACAGCATAGATGGACCTAGAGGGTATTATGCTAAGTGAAATAAGTCAAACAGAAAAAGACAAATACCAAATGATTTTACTTATATGTGGAATCTAAAGAGCAAAATGAATGAACAAACACATTTTTTTAGAAAAAGAAAAGAAAGAGGATCCAAGCCACTGGACTGGCTTGAGTCTAGGATAAGAGTGAGTGGACACAAATACACTGTGGTGACACAAGTTCAGTGCCTCCTGTCCAGATCTCTAATGTTTCTGATCACATTTATTGCTTTAGTTGACTGCCCATCCATCAGTCAATAGCCACCATGGGACACCACATTTGGATTGCTGTTCTACCCCTACTGACCATTTCAGTGACTGCTCCCATGTTGTCTCGGCCACTCTGGGGATGAAAGTGGCATCTATCTCTTTCATCCCCAGCTAGCAAGAGACAGACAATACAGAACGTTACAGAATTATGGTGTTTGCTTCACCAATGCATTTCTGAATGCTTTGGGTCTGCCTGGGACTTGGTGGAATATGGAAGGATCATACCTGAACTATGCATTTCAACCTTCCTCTCTCTAAGCCTTTGGATTCCATCCTGTCCATTACACCAAAGAAGTTAGGGCACCTCCGCCTCATTAAATTAGTCCACTGCTGAGTCAGGTTTCAGTCAACTAAAGAAGCAGAGTGCCAGTGATCACTCCAGCTGCTTAAGATAACACAGAGATGTCAAAATCTCTGGCAATTTGCAGCTTTATCAATAAATGCAGTTTGATCCAATGTGAGGTGCCCTCATCCTTGGTAGCAAATACTGCATCAGTCAAGATTTAGTCAGAAAAATTAAAATCACCTTGGGTATTTTCAGCACAAAGGGATTTAATACAGAAGATATGGTTAAAAGTCTTGAAAGAACTGGAGGACCAAAGTGGGGAAAAGGGGAAAGTGGTACTAAAAACCAGAGATCGGGCACTGCAAGAAGTCACTACCATCTGTATTAGTCTACTCATGCTGCATAACATAAAAGTTATAAAACCATTGGTATTATCAACAGGAGTGATCCTGGCAGCTGGGATTGAGGTGATAGCCTTAGAAATGATTAGAAGAGGGATTTATTGATGACTTAAAATGGGTGTAAGAGAGAGTGGCCCTTGATCCATGGACCTCTTCTCTTCCCTCTCTACACTCACTCCCATAGTGATCTCACCCAATTTCATGGATTTAGATGCTATGCATTTCTGTATATACCTCCAGCCCTGATATCCAACTCATGTATAGTATCTTCAGATTTGTATATACAACTGTCTTCCCAAAAATT